TTTCTTTTGTTTTATGTTTGGTTTTAATTTCTGAATCAATTTAGTATGAGTATGAGATATACTGAAAAAAAAAAAAAACATCAGGGCTAATAATTTATCACAGCACTGTATGATCACTGTATTCTCTTCTCTTCTCTTTACTGTAATCTGGTGTTTTATGTATTTTTATTTTGTCCAATTCTAGGAGGAGCTCAATACAGCACTGAAGTCCTTACAGGAGAAACTTCAACACAATGAAAGCATGAAAGAAGAGTTTGAGAAAACAGTTCAACACATCAAGGTGAGGAAACAGAATCAAGAGTCATTTTCAGTACAGCTGTAGCATCACTAAACACAATTATGATTTGTTATATTTAATATAATGGATTCCAGTTGATTGTTTCTGTAAATTTGCAATTTGATTTCAGTCTCAAGCTGAGCAAACAGAGCGTCAGATTAAACAGCAGTTTGAGAAGCTTCATCAGTTTCTCAGAGATGAAGAAGAAGCTACAATCACTGCACTGAGGGAGGAAGAGGAGCAGAAGCAGCAGATGATGAAGGAGAAGCTGGAGGAGATGAACAGACACATCTCAGCTCTTTCACACACAATCAAAGACACGGAGGAGATGATGAAAGCCAGTGACGTCTGCTTTCTGAAGGTCTGATTTCAGATCATCCATTAATTGATTGATTGATGATTGATTGAGTTCTTGATGATCAATGGTGTGTTTGTTCTGCAGGAGTTTCCAGTCACGATGGAAAGGTGAGTGATCTGCTGCTGTCTCTGCTCTCTCTGCTTCTGATCCAAAGCCACTGCAGTTCTGATCCTGAATGTTCTTCCAGAGTCCAGATTCGATTATCCTGCCGTAAAACCTGTCGTTTGAAGCGGCAACATGTTGGGGAAAAACGCCTTTTGTGGTCTATGGCAATCAAAGTAAACATTATATGACAGGTAAAGCTTAAACGATTGCAGAAATGTTATTTATTTTAAGGTTTAAAGTTAAGTCTTGTTTAACATTATGTAGGCATATTCTTGGAAACGAGCTGGCAGCAGAAATCACACAACAAAACGAAATG